CAACCATCCATCCACTGATCCATCCCTTCCAACCATCCATCCACGATCCATCCCCTTCCAACCATCCATCCCATCATCCATCCCCTTCCAACCATCCATCCATCATCCATCCCCTTCCAACCATCCATCCACGATCCATCCCCTTCCAACCATCATCCATCATCCATCCCCTTCTCAACATCATCCCATCATCCATCCTTCAACCTAATCCATCCTCATCCATCCCCTCCAGACCATCCATCCATCATCATCCCTTCCAACCATCCATCCACATCCATCCCCTGCTAACCATTCCATCCATCATCCATCCCCTTCCAACCATCCATCCATCATCCATCCCCTTCCAACCATCCATCCATCATCCATCCCCTTCCAACCATCCAGCCCTCCATTCTTTGATGTACCCATCCAACTGTCCCTTCACAAACAAATCTACTTTTCATCTATTAACCCCCCTCTTCCAACCTGACATCTTTCCAACCATTTATTCCCCCATCCAACTCTCTTCTTTCCATACTTCCTTCCCTCCATTCACCTGCCCCCTTCTCCTTCCTTCTTTCCAGCCATCTACCCATCTGTGCTGAGCACCGTGCACTGAGGCGGCCCAGGGGCAGCCGAAAGACTGTGTCCCTTGGCATTTGGGAGGCCTGGGTTCCAGGTCCCGCTGCCACTCCCGCCCACTGGTCTCCGTGCTCCTGTGCCACGCGCTGCCTCACGGTTCTCCTCCCTCATCTGCCCTCCGCCTGCCGTCACCGGGAACGCAAGGCCTGGACTCTGCTCTTGTCGACGCGTCCTCTCCTGAGGACCCACCGGTGCCCACCACCGTCAGAGCGGGACGCCCTGAGTCACGCAGAGCCGCTGCGATCTGTGCGCTGCGGACCCTGGAAACCCGAATCCTGTTTCCTCCCCCACCCTGTTAGAAAGCCTTGAGTCCACTCCCCCACCCCGACCCTCTCTTCCCCGACCGACTTCGTCTCTCGGCTCTCAGGGAAAACCCGACTGACTCCACAGCGGCTATCAAAGGCCCACAGCGTGCCGGGCGCAGCGGCAGACGGGACGAGAGGTCCCGCCCGGACGGATCCCTTGGGACACGCACGCGCAGGTGACTTCCCACGGTGGCGAGCAGTGAGGGAAAGAGGCAAGACGGGGGGGGGGGGGGGTGACAGTGGGAGGTGTTTCCATGGCAACATGCCGAATGGAGGCTTCACAAGGGGAGGAAGAGAGACCAGGGGCGGTCCAGGGGCGTGGTCAGCACGAAGACGTCCACGCCCAGCCCCTGGAACCTGTGCACGTGGCACCTGGCCTGGCGAAAGGGACTTTGCGAATGAGGTGGGGGTGGGGAGGGGAGAGGAGCCTGGGACACCCCGGCGGCCCGGCCTGGTGGCAGGAACCCTAGCAGGTGGAGCGGCTGCCGTCAGAGGGCGGGCCAGCATTCAACTGTGGGCGCTTTGCAATCCGGTCGGGAAGACGCCGAACGGCCGGGGCGAGCGCTGCCTGCGGGCACTGAGGGCCTACGCCAGGAAGGACCCGCAGGCTCTGCCGGCATTCAGTCGCCCGGCGCCGGGGGCGCGCGGAGGAAAGCCAAAGGCCACCGGCCGCTCAGCGGGCCACGGCCAGTCAGAAGGGCCGTGAAGACCCAGACCTTGACCTTTACATTAAAGGGGGGAAAAGAACTGCGAGAAAATTCCACACTGCTGTCGGTGAGTACGCTGGTTTGCGCGGACTGTTTCCTGGTTTAACGGCCAAAGGGCTGCTGTTAAATCGATCTTGTGTGTTATTATTCAACGCACAGCACCTCGGAATTATGAGAACGCGTTTGCTCTGAATGGGTGTGAGCCACCTGAAGGACACTTGTGTTTTCCGTGCAGTCTCGTGTGACCAGACCTACGGCGACCGACAGAGAGCTCCGGGACTCAGCCGGCAAAGGGTGGCCGCGGGGACCGGGACCTGGGAGGGAGGGTGACAAGGCACTCGGGCGCTAGGTGCACCCAAAGCACAGGGACGTGTCTGGGCCCGGCCAAGAAGGCAGCGTTGGGCTGAGCCCTGCGGACCGAGGAGTCGCCCACGTGGCACACAGAAAAGGCAGGACACACGGAAGGGGGCTGGGGAGGGGCGGGCAGACCTCGCTGGGGGCCTCGGGGAACCCTGGGCCCCGACGCACGTCACAGCGCGGGCACGACCTGCACGACCGGGGCCGGGGGAGGTCACACTGTGGCCGTCAGACACCAGAGCGTCGGAGGGGCTTGCGGGCGCAAACGGCCATCTGTCCCTACTGGCTGGGCCGGGCGGGCAGCCCCTGGTCCGGTCCGTCTGCGCTGCGCCCCGCCCCGGCCGCACCTGAGAACTCTCCCCCGCCCAGGTCTGGCGGGGCCCTAGAGAGCGGGCCCTGGCCTGGGCCATGTCACCCCGCCGTGACAGGGACCTCCTCGGGGATCTGGGGGGCACAAGTACTCACCAATTTTTTGTCCATTTTTGCTTTGATGTCTCTGGCGAGAGTGAAAAATGCCTGTGGAGTAGGCACGGCGTTAGGGCCCCCGGAGTCCCCGGCCCCCCACGTGGAGTGGGCGTGGCAGGACAGTGGGCGTGGCCAGGAGACAGCCTTGAAATGACTTCCGGGCGTGGGCCTCCCGTCCGGCCCTTTGACGCCTGCCCGTGGCAGTGGACTCTGCTGCCCCCCCTCCCCGCCCCCCGACTCTCAGCGTCCACTCCCTCGTCTGCAGGGCACCCGTGGGTGACGGGGGACTTTGGCGCAGCCGCCTCCCCTGTGCCAACAGCCCTGGGAGGTGCGGCCACATTCAGTGGGCCAGAGAGGAAACTGAGGCTGAGGCGCCAAGGGACTTGTCCGTTAAGCACCCAGTGCTTCGCTGACCGATCCGGAAGGACCTGGACGGAGCGCCCAGCTCTCCACCCAACTCCTCGGGCCACCTGGGCTGGGCCCTGCAGGAAGGGGGGGGGGCATCTGATGGCAGGAACTCGGCAAAGGCCCAGAACAGGGGGGCCCGGGTGGCCCTGGGCACAGACACTAGAAGGGACAGCAAGGGGCTTCCCTGACAGGCCAGGCACCCGGGTTACCCCCTCCAGCCGGCGTGGGGTCCGGCAGGGTGTGACTTAGAAGACCCATCTTGGGAACGTCACTAGGACAGCGAGGTGCAGGGGAGCCGGGCCAGCCATGGGCTGGCGTCACCCGTGGAGAGAAGAGTGGGGACAGGGACAGACCTGCTCAAAGCCCGGCTGCCTGGGATGTTCTCGGCCTCAGTTTCCTCATCTGTAAAACCACCTGTTCCCCAGGGCTGCACCAGAAGCCCCCTCAGAGGACCGACAAGCAAACCAGGACCTGAGGCTGGTCTCTCTGGCAGAACCTCCCTGGAGGAGGCCAGCCCGGCCCACCCCTTGGCCCAGCAGGATGGATCCTGCAGGCCCCCGTGCCCAGCAGGCCGGGACTCACGTTCTCCACGTTGATGTTGGCCTTCGCGCTGGTCTCCATGAACTTGATGCCGTAGTCGAGGGCCAGCTGCGAGGGGGGAGGGACACGCGAGCGCACGTCAGCCGCCAGGCGCCTGGTCCGGGCTGGCGCTGAGGCGGGGCAGCGACAGGGTGGGGAGGGGCGGGGCTTGCTGCGCCCCTGCTCCCTGTGGCCCCAGAGCCTCCTGGGTGGCCGCGGCGGGTTGGGCAGAGACACCCAGAGCCCCGGGGCTCGCAGCGCGGTCTGCACCCGCGCCAGGCCTGCACCTGTCACAAAGGTCCTGAGCCGGCTGTCCCCCGAGCCTGGCCTCTCCACCAGCGAGCACCTGGGGCTCTGGGGCAGGGCAGGGGCAGGGGAGCCCTCTGTGCAGGGACCCCCAAGACCGCTGGGTCCCGCCACGCCCACCTTTTCTCCCCGTTCCTTGGAGACTTGTCTTTTGTCGTTCACGTCACACTTGTTCCCCAGGATCATCTTTTCCACGTCTGCAGAGGCGTGCTGGGGAGGGGGGGGTGTGGAGAGGGGCGGTCAGGCCGGGCGACACGGGCCGGGCACCTCTGCCCACACGCGGCCGGCCCCTGGGATCAGCAGGGCGGGGTCAGGCCTGCCAGGCACGGCCGGGCCAGGAGACACGCTGAAGCTCAGAGAGGCCGAGCAGCCCAGCCCGCGCCACCCGGCCCACGCCAGGCTGGCTTCCGGCCGAGGCCAGGGTTCCAGCAGCTCACCCTGCCAGGCGTGCAGTTCCCAGCTGCTGGGAGCAGCGTCCCCACCGGGTGCCCGTCGGCCAGGCCTGCGCTGCCGGCGGGTCTGGCCCACGGGAGGCAGGCGAGGCTGGTATTTACCCCCAGCCCTCTAGCCTCCCCCGCCCTCCCCGGGAGGCCCGGGCTGCCGTCCTGGGACCTGCTTTGACCTTTTAACTCTCTCTCTGGGCTCTGGAAACGGGCTGGGCCTGAGGTCGCCGCGGGTCCTTGCCATCGCCAACCCTGGGGACTTCACCGACCCCGGGTCGCCTTAGCTCTGCCCTCACTCCCGGAAGTGGCTCCTCTGTCAACCCTCCCGCAGCCCCCAGAGGAGTGTCTCTGGCTCCCTGAAGGGCGGGGACACCGGGAAGCACCGTCTTCTGCCACCCACTCGGCCTGGCCTCAGTGGAGCCCACCGCGCCGCTCCCGGCCTGACTCCCCAGGACCCAGGGGACCCTCTCGCTGGCCGGCCGGGAACAGAGGACGCCGGCGGGGACCGGCGTGGCCGTCCTCGTCCTCTCCACCCCTCGGGATGGCTCCTGGCCTGAGGGCGGCCGGAGCCCACCGGGGGCCAGGGGCGGGGCCCAGTGCGAGCACCCACGACTGATGGGGCCGGTCTCTCGGCCTGGCCCGAGTGGTCCACATGCCCTAGGCGGACGTGAGGTGACCTGCCGTGGCTCCGTGGGCCGGCAGAGTCCCTGGCTGCGCCGTGCCCCTGAGCCCCGGGCGGTCAGCGAAAGCCTCGGGAGCCGCCGTCCAGGAGCGCAGGGGTGAGGTCGGTGCCCCGGGTGGCGGGAAGATGGAGGCGCCGGCTCCGGGCTGGGCGGCTGGCCTCCGCCTCCTGTGGCCACGGTTCAAGGTCTGCACGTGGGTAGCGGCTCACGCCCTGCTCCCAGGTAGCTCAAAGTGCAGTCGGACCTGCCGGCTCACCACACCCGCCAAATACAAGGGTCATGCCGGTGCTAGAACCTTCCCTCTCGAGATAGCACCGCAGGCTCACGGTGACGACGAGCTTGGATGTCCCTCTTCCTGTGACCGTGACAGTGGCCAGCTGACAGCTCGGCCGGGGGAATGCACAGGCTCTCGGAGCTGTCCTGTGACGGGGCCAGGCCGGTGGTGGTCCCTGCCCCCCTCTGTCCCTAACTACGAGCCCAGGCACTTCTGGGTGCCTCTGGGCCTTCTCGTCTGCAAACCGGGGGCTCCGGGGCGAGGGCCGAGGAGGGGGCGTGGAGGAGCCGGCGGGCCTCACCTCCTCAATGTTCCGAATCCAGTTCCGGATGTTGTCGAAGGACTTCTCGTTGGTGATGTCGTAGACCAGCATGATGCCCTGTGCGGGAGACACAGAGACAGGACGGTGGAGAGGGAGGACAAGGCACGGGCCCAGCGCCCGCCCCGCACCCAAGCCCATCGGCTGCCACTCACCCCCCCCCCCGGCCGGCGAGGTGTCCCGGAAGCCAGGCGCCTCCTGGCTCTAGGCTCCAGACCTGCCCTCGGCCACCGGCCCGTCCCAGCCTTGCTTAGCAGCCTGGCGGTGGCCGTGAGGCCCGCAGCCCGCCAGGCTCCCCTCCTCCCCTCGCACTGAGCCTCCCCTGCAGCAGCCTCCTCCTCCGCCCTCCCCCACCCCCTACGAAGCGCTGGCACTGCAACGGGGCCTCGAGGGAGCCCCAGGCCCTGGCCGGGTGGTCCCTCGTCCCGCTCTGCACGTGGGGGGCCTGAGGCGAGTGGCCAGGCCCTGTCTACGGTCACAGGGGCGTAAACGGGAAGACGCGGCCCTGAACCCGGCCGGCCCGACCCCGACACACGCCCTCCCTGCCAGCCCGCCAGGGTGCGGCCTGGGCGGTGCGGAGGCCCCCTGGGCTCGCCAGGGACCCGTCTCTTCTCGTGGAAGACAATTTTCCACGCACGGGGGCAGGGAGGATGGGGAGCGGCTGCACATACAGAGGGAGCTTCGCTCGCTCGCCACGGCTCAGCCCCGCTGTGCGGCCCCGTCCCTAACAGGCCACGATCCGGTTGCCACGGCTCAGCCCCGCTGTGCGGCCCCGTCCCTAACAGGCTACGATCCGGTTGCCACGGCTCACCCCTGCTGTGCGGCCCCGTCCCTAACAGGCCACGATCCGGTACCGGCCCTCGGCCCGGGGGCTGGGGACCGCAGACCTGACCAACGCCTGAGCGCGGCTGGCGAGACAGCCCAGGGGTCCTGACAGCCGCGGAGTGGCCCCAACTAAGCCCATCCCTGTGGAGAAGGGCAAAGACCTCCACATGACACAAGGGGAAACCGAGGCACAGAGAGACATGACCTTTAAGATTCAAGCCCAGGTGGGGCTGACCCTGCGAGAGGGGATGAGGCCTCTCCCCTTGGGAACCTCCCTGGGCCCTCGTCAGCCCCAGAAGCAGTGTGGGGCCAACAAGCGACCCGACAGTCCCTTGCTGTTCTGCGTGAGCTCCAGGGGCACCCACGGGGCCCCCGCAAGGCCCCTCACGGCTGAGCTCCCTCGGCCCCCAGGCACGTGGCCGGCGCATGCCCAGGCCCGCTTGCCTGTCCCTCCACGCTCCCTGTCCCGAGGGCCCCGTCCTGTGTCTGCAGCCTCGGTGCGTGCCGACGCCTCCGGTGTGGCCAGGCCGTTTCCGTGGCCGGCAGCCTCTGCAGAGTGAGACCCCAGGTGTGTGGCACTGGGCGGACAGGGGTGGGGCAAAGCCACCCAGGTGGGGTGAGAACGCCACCCTGCTCCCAGGCCCCATGAGAACCCCGGGAAACCAATGTCCTCACGGCCGGCCACAGCCCCGCCAAGGCCCCTCACCGACGCCCTCTATCCGGGAGCCCTCTTTCCGGGGACCCCGGGGAGGCCCCAGAGGTGTTGGGGCCCCAGCCAAGGTGGGCGGGCCAGAGGCGCCTGAGGGTCTTTCTTCCCCGTACTCGGGACTGGCTGCCCTGACGGCCCAGGGACCGCCACCACCCGCAAGTGGGCAGCATGTATGTGCCCCACATTCCCGTACATGAGACTGGCTGCCCTGATGGCCCAGGGACCGCCACCACCCGCAAGTGGGCAGCATGCATGTGCCCCACATTCCCGTACTCGGGGACTGGCCTGCCCTGACGCCCAGGGACCGCCACCACCGCCAGTGGCAGCATGCATGTGCCCCACATTCCCGTACACGGGACTGGCTGCCCTGACGGCCCAGGGACCGCCACCACCCGCAAGTGGGCAGCATGCATGTGCCCCACATTCCCGTACACGGATGCTGCCCTGACAGCCCAGGGACCGCCACCACCGCAAGTGGGCAGCATGCATGTCCCACATTCCCGTTACTCGGGACGTGCTGCGCCCCGGTGACAGACGGCCCAGGGACCGCACCACCGGCCAGTGGGGCAGCATGAGCATCGTGGCCCCACATTCCCGTACAGGACGGCGCTCACAGCCAGGCGCACCACACCGCAAGTGGGCAGCATGCATGTTCCCACTATTCCCGTACACGGACTGACTGCTCTGACGGCCCAGGACGCCACCACCGCAAGTGGGCAGCATATGATGTGCCCCACATCACCGTACACTGGACTGGCTGCCTCTGACGGCCAGACCTCCACCACCCGCACGTGGGCAAGCAATGCAGGTGTCCCACATGTACACGGACTGTGCTCTGACGGCCCCAGGACCGCCACCACCCGCAAGTGGCAGCATCCATGTGGCCCCACATTCCCGTACACGGGACTGGCTGCCCTGACGGCCCAGGGACCGCCACCACCCGCCAGTGGGCAGCATGCATGTGCCCCACATTCCCGTACACGGGACTGGCTGCTCTGACGGCCCAGGGACCGCCACCACCCGCCAGTGGGCAGCATGCATGTGCCCCACATTCCCGTACACGGGACTGGCTGCTCTGACGGCCCAGGAACCGCCACCACCCGCAAGTGGGCAGCATGCATGTGCCCCACATTCCCGTACACGGGACTGGCTGCTCTGACGGCCCAGGGACCGCCACCACCCGCAAGTGGGCAGCATACATGTGCCCCACATTCCCGTACATGGGACTGGCTGCTCTGACGGCCCAGGACCGCCACAACCCGCAAGTGGGCAGCATGCATGTGCCCCACATTCCCGTACACGGGACTGGCTGCCTGACGGCCCAGGACCCACCAACCCGCAAGTGGGCAGCATGCATGTGCCCCACATTCCCGTACACGGGACTGGCTGCTCTGACGGCCCAGGGACCGCCACCACCCGCAAGTGGGCAGCATGTATGTGCCCCACTTTCCAGGTGGCTCGATTCGACCCGCTGTGGGGGAGGGGAAAAGATGGTGTGGGAGTTAGGCAGGCAGCGGGCACGGCTCTATGGCAAACACCGGCCCACCCCACTCCAGGCCCTCCATGACGCTCCCCGCAGCGCCGCAGTGACTACGTCCCGGGTCCCCGCCCACACACCTCCACGCGTGTTTGGCTGTCATGGGCCACCAGCCAGCCAATGCTCCCCAATGTGTCTTCCAGACCCAGTGCCTAGACCTCCGGGACGGAGCGGCCGGCATGGCCTAAGGGTGGCAGCGTTTGCTCTCCGCTCTGCCCCGTGTGGCTGTGCTGGCCACATGGCTCTGGGGCACGCCCGCCAAGCTGCTCTGACCTAGGGGTTTTTGATTTTGATTGGTTTAAATTCAAACAGGGCTGGGCCGCGTCCAGGAGGACCGAAAGCCACGGTCGCCTCCGTGCTGACTGGGGACGCGGGCGCGGGAGACAGCCGCCCGCCCTGGCCCGGCCAGGGGCCCTTTGTGTGCACTCGAGCAGGGCAGGCGACTGAGCCGACCCTTGGGCTCCCGGTGCGCGGTGGGGCGGGGACGTGGCCCCTGCACTCAGGGGCGGGTCTGTGGCCACGACGCAATGGGATGACCCGGGCTATGACCTGGCCCAGCGCCTCGGCAGCCAGGACAGGGTGCTGGGCGGCAATTTCAGCCCAGAGAGGGCTGGGCCCTGCCCCGGGTCGCACAGCTCTCTCCAGGGACAGAAGCGCCCCCGTGACCCCAGGATCCCGAGGCCCCCGCCCCGTCCTGCCAGAGCACGGCCGGATGAGGTGAGAGGAAAACAAGGAAATTAATTTCAATGAGGGGCACCAAGGCTGCAGCCCACACGACTGAGTTCCTGTTGTGCTGCGGATGGTGCCCGGGACGTCCCATGGCCGCTGCACCCGCAGGCCTTGCCCAGCCCCTACTGCGCACACGCCCACAGGCCCCCGGGCACTGGGCCCGCGCAGGGACCCAGACGGGGCGCTGCCCTCACGGAGCTTGTGATCTAGCAGAGGAAGCAGGTGGCCGTCTCGTCAGACGATGGGGTGTGCCAGGGAAAGGCTGGGGGGCGGGGGCGGGGCGCTGGGGACGGGGAAGGACGGCTGTGCCCCCTCCCTGCGGCCTGGGACAGTGTCAAGTTCTCTGGTCCGCTTCCTAAGAAAGGAGCTGGAGCTCAGAGGGGACCCAGGGTCTCAGGCCAGGTCCTGGTGGGGCCCGCCTCCTACTCCCGCCACATCAGTGAGCCCTGGCCCCTCTGACGGCCCAGGGTTCCAGATTCCTAGATTTTTACCTATCTAGGGGAGGGGGAGTCAGTTTGGGGCTTCAGAGGGTGGCGGGTCCAGCTCTCTACCAGGACAGAGCACAAGTATCTGGAAAACACTGGCTCCCCCGTTCCGGGCCCTCCTAGAAGCTCCCCGCGGGGCTCGATGGCAATTTTCTGCAGCCCGGCCCCGCACCTCTCCGCACGCCTGCAAGCTCACGCTGGGTCACCAGACACCCCATGCCCCCCACATTCGGGCCTTCTAGACCCAAGTGGCTGGGACCCCAGGACAGAGATGATGATGCAGCTTCCACAGTGACAGCGGTCTCTGCTCTGTCCCGTCCAGCTACCACTGGCCTCACGAGGCACCGGGGGCACTGGAAACGCAGTCTCCCTCGAGCGCGGCGCCCCGTCCCGCCCCCCACCCCCCGCCGCCGTCTGCCTCTAGTCCTGGCTTGGCCCAGAGAAGGTGCCGGTAAATACCTGAGGGATGACAAACGGGTCTTCCTGCCACCCCGCCTCCCGCCCAGGCAACAGGCGTAACGGCCAACAGCCCGGGGCGCGCCAGGTCCTGGAAGGTCTTCCAGGTTTTGGTAGCGCGTTCCAGAGAGACCGCCGCGGGCCGCCGGAGCGTGCCGGAATGTGGGGCGAGTGTCGGGGCGTGCCGGCTCAGTCCACTGCCCTCACCTGGAACAGCCAGCTTCCTGTGTCTTCATCCCCCAAGAATTAAGTTTCCTCTTTATGCAAACCCCGCGCTGTCCCTGCAGCCAGAGGGGAGGGGCGCCAGGGGCGGGGGCAGGGGGAGGCCCACAGCCTCTCCCTAAAACCAACTCGGGACCAGGGAGCCCCGAGGGGCCAGAGCACAGGCTCCACAGAAACATCCAGAATTAGGCACCGAGCACACAGCGACATTCGTTTTGACTTAAAAAACAGCGAAAACAGATGACCCCATGCGTACCATCGCGCCCCTGTAGTAGGCCGTCGTGATCGTCCGGAACCGCTCCTGGCCGGCCGTGTCCCTAGACGTGGGGAGAGGAGAGGTTAGTGACACCAAAGGAGACTGGTCACCGTCCCCAGCAGGGGCAAAGAACATCCACCGGGGATGGCAGCCTGCCCACTGCTGTGACTCATCGTCCTGCTGAGGCAGCACCTTCTCGTTTATTTTTTTAAATCAATTGTGTATTGAGAGATTCAAAAAAATGTGTTCCTATTTTTTTTACGAACTGGGTTAGGCAGCACCTTCCAACCTCCCGATTATCATGGAGAAGGAAACCGAGGCTTGGAAGGGTTGGGGTCCTTTGGTGGCTTCCCGTCGGGGCTGTCGAGGAGCCACGACTGATGCCTGGCTCGTGCGCCCCCTCCCCTGTTGCACCTCTGCTTCCAGGGCATCCTCCCCGGAGTTTCTGAGTCACAGAAGGGGCAGCCGCGCGGCTCGGGACAGGACGCAGCCCTGGCTCCCGGGAGGGGCGGGACTCAGGGAGCGCTCTCGGGCCACCGTGGTTCAGGTGGCGGGGAAAGTCCTTCCTCACCCGCATGATGGGGGAAGCGGTATCTAGCACCCCTGGGGGAGTCGCCCCAGGCCAGCGCCTGGCACGGAGGATGCTCAGGGTCTGGCGTGCAGGTGACCTAACCGATCGGTGGCAGGGCGAGACCGGGCAAGACCGCATCTTCTGTCCCTGAGCCCAGGACCCCGCCCGCCCCAGGAGGGCCCCACGCTGTCTGGGCTTCCCAGAAACGCCTCGCTCGGTGCTAAATGACTTCCTGACGCCAGCGGCAGGTGACGTTGGTGGTTATGAACAGTCATCTCAGTCTTAACCGAGGTCTCAGTTGTCTCAGAGAGTTCTGAGCCGCGGAGCCATCGAGACTGCCGAGAGCAGAAGCGGGGCACAGGAGGAAAGCGGGCCCCCTGCTTGCTGGCGCAGCGTCACTTTGGACTTGGGAACAAAGGCTGCTTTGGTGCCAGACGCGGAGAAACTTCCGCGGCTCAGGACTTGCGAGGTGGCCAGAGGCTGGCTGACTACCGACGTCTGCAGGATTGACAAGGCGGTAAGCCGCGCCCGGACTTCGGCGGCGATGTCAGATTGAGAGACGAACGTCACCGGGACTTGAGGGTACGAACGAGGCCCCCGACAGCACTGGCAAAGCCGGGGTGACGGCTCAGGCCCTGAGACCTGAGGGCGGCTTCGAGGCCCACGCCGCGGCGCTCCGCCCCCGCCCCAGGAGCGCGCCCGGGATGGGGCGGATGGAGCGGCGCTCACACACGTCTTCTGCTCCACGCACGTCTCGCCCGGGGCTGGCGGCTCCACGCAAGTGGATCCCGCCACACCTGGACACCCACGTTCAGCGCCTCACGCCGTGGGCCTGCGTCTACGCCAGCGACGGGGGCCTGGGAGTCTCACCGCGGCCCTCGCTTTACGTGGCAGAAGTCACCGTCGGGCCTGAGGAGTGGGGCCGGGTCTGGCCCTCGTGCCTCAGCCTAACTGCGGCTCGGCGCTTCCAGGTCTGCGTGCCAGGGAGGGAGGCCTGACCTTCCCCGGAAGAGAAAAGGGGAAGCGATCGACGTCGCCCCGCGTGGGGCTCCCGGGCTGACGGGCTCAAAAGGAAACTCCCTGCCGGGGCATCTCCCCGTCCCCTGGTCCCCCGGCCTCGGCCGCCGCGTGGCGCGGGGGAGGGGCTCTCTCCACGCTCGCGGATGCGGCCCGCCCTGCAGCCCAGACCCAAGCCTTGCCCACGCTGCCCGCTTGGCTCACTGGGCCCGGGCAGCTCTGTCCCCGGCAGGTGTGACGCAGCACAGCACAGCTCCCTGGGCTGGCGGAGACACTCGAGGGGCTTCTGAGGACGGCCCCTCGCGTCAGGGCCGGGCGTCCGGCTCGCAGTGCCCGCCAGGCGGAGAGTGTGACAGAGGGCGCCGACTCTTACCATATCTGCAGCTTAATTCTCTTGCCATCGAGCTCTATGGTCCTAATTTTAAAGTCAATTCCTGAAAGAAAAGAAAAAAAGGCGTGTCACGGTCAGCCCGCCTCCCGAGCTGGGTCCGAGGTGGGTGCCGCCAGCCTGTGCAGGTGACAGCCGCCGTGGCTCACGGGGCACCTGCCTGGCGCTGGGCGTGTGTGGTCTCGGCATCTGGAAGGCCCTGGAGATACTCTGCCCTCTCATCAAGGGGGGCTGGGGCTCCAGGGGCTGACAGGAGCTGCCCGGAGCAAAGCCGGCAAGCGGCAGGCCGGGGGCAAAGCCAGGGGGCGGGGGAGGCAAAGCCTTGCTCTCGCCCCCACCACCTCCAGCTGAACCTGCCCCTCTGCCCCCGGCAGTTGTATGGGAGGGGGAACACCAGAGCCCTTTGCAGGCCCAAGTCGCGCTTCCCTCCACCCTGCGGCGGCCCCTCCCTCCCCAGCATGCAGGGCCCCCGGGCCCAGGACACACCCATACACGCTGGCCGCCTGGGCTTTTGCAGACGCCATTCCTGCTCTGTGTGGCCCCTCAGCCGGCCTCGCCCAAAGGTCCCCTCCCAGGAAGCCTTCCTGACCCCATCCTCCTTCTCTTCCACCCCCCACTTTCATCCCCTCCCCCCAGGGCGACCTCGAAGTGACCACACTGCTCCCAGGCTCCTGAAGCCCCCCCTCCCCCGCCTCCGACAACACAGCGCTAACCCCGCCGCCGCTGCGCTGCACCCCGACCCTCCCGCCCGTCGGCCTGCGGATCCACAGTCGCGCCACGAACGCACAGGCTACATGTGTGTCCACACAACGGAATACTAGGCGGCCGTGAAGCGGGATGATGGGACGCCGACACCCGCTACAACACGAGTGAACCTCACAACGCTGAGAGAGACGGGCCAGGCGCAGAAGGCCGCACAGCCTACGATCCCGCTGACACGGAAGGTCCAGGGCCGCGAATCCAGACACACCGCGGACGGGTGGCTGCCGGGCGGCGGGAGGCCGGGCGGGTTTGCTGAGGGGTGCAGGCTCTCTTTGGCACAGTGAAAACGTCCTAAACCTGACTGTGGGGGCAGACGCGCACCTCTGCGAGTGCACCAAAAGTCACCGAACCGTACACCGCAAATGGGTGACTCACACGGCACACGAATTATATATATCTCAATAAAGCTGTTAACAGCAACAACAAAAAGCACCTTCCAGTGGCTTCTCCGCCCCCCTCTCTCCTGCAGAAAAAAGAGAAGGCAGCTGCCTGTGTGTGCCACAGTCCCGCCTCACCCGGCCAGCCCAGCACCCAGCTCATGGCCGTCTCTCTCTGGCCACACCTAGGCCACGCTCTCTGTCTGCGTGGCTGTTTCTTTTTTTCTTAAATCTTTACTGTTCAATGCATGTATTTCAGCCTGGACGTGGCTGCTTCTTAAACATCCCTGCAGTGCGCTCCTGTCTCAGGGCTTTGACATGTTCTCTTCCCTCTTCTGGAACGTTCTTCCCCTCCGAAGCCACCTGGCTCTCCCCATCCCTTCGCTCAGGCCCCCTTTCAGACCCTGTCCTCAGGGTAGCCTCGAGACAGCCAGACCCAGCCTTTGCCGCCAGGAGTGGGATCGGAGTCTCCGTCCCCAAGACTCCGAGGCCGGGCCTGGCTTGAGCTGCCCGAACCCATGACGGAGGCGCCAACTCCGCCCCGCCGGCCTCAGCACTGGAGCTTCGCGCTTCAGAACACGAGCTCCGTGGAGGCCAGGACTTGATCCGTCTCCCCCGCTGCTGCCACGACCGGGGACGGGACGACCGGCCGGGGCTGCGTGCGGATATGGTGGGACCCACCTGGACTCCGGTCGCTTTCCTGCTTCCCTCTATTCGCCCTAAAGCCCTAGCGCTTTCCCAGGCACCGTCCATCTGGCCGCCGGCGGCTTGAGCGGGCCCCTGGGAGGCAGCGGGGGCCGCGCCAGGCCGCTGAGAGCCGATCCCAGGGAGACGCGGCCAAGTTCGCACCGCAATGATTGATGGAGCTTGTGGGAATAGGCTTTGGCAAAACGCAACCTGGGCAGATAACGAACAGCCACTCGGTCCCTGAGCTAGGAGGAGAGCCCAGGGGTGCACTCGGCGCCAACACGGAATGGCCTTTAGGGACTGAGTTGCATTTCAGGACTCAGCAGTCTGGTGTCGACTCTTCCTGAAACATCCCCCACCTCTTGTCCCAGAGGTGCAGGGACACACGGAGTTGAGCAGCTCCTTTCAGTCACCCGACGACCGCCCCCCCCCCCCCCCCCCCCCCCCCCCCCCCCCCCCCCCCCCCCGCGTGACTCTGTCCTGGGTTTTATTAACAAGTCAAGGTGAACCAGGAAGTGCAAACTTTACGAGGCCTGGGAATTATCAGGCCGTAACTTCAAGGTCATGGTGAATTAAACTTCCCTAGAAGGATACAAATGTGAGGAGCAGAATACTGGGTTCAGAGTGCCACCTCCACCTCGACAGCCGGCCCTGACCAAGTTCCATCCTAATCTGCAGGTGGGACAGCACAGCCTCCTCGGAGCCCCAAAGTGCTAGACTGGGTTCTCTGGTCAAGAATTAAAAACCGGCCGGGAGCAGTGGCTCACACCCGTAATTCTAGCACTTCGGGAGGATAAGGTGGGAGGATCACTTGAGGCCAGGAGTTCAAGACCAGCCTGGGCAACTTAGTGAGACTCCATCTTTATAAAAAATAATAAAAAAAAAATTAGCCAGGTGTGATGGCACACGCCTATAGACCCTGCACTTGGGAGGCTGAGGCAGGAAGATGGCTTGAGCCCAGGTGTTTGAGGTTGCAGTGAGCTATAGATGCCACTGCATTCCAGCCTGGGCAACAGAGTGAGACCTTGTCTCAAAAAAAAAAACAAAAAACAAAAGAACAAAAACTAAAGAAGAATTAAAAACCACACTGTACCACAGTCCAACCTGGGCCAAGGAGTGAGACCTTGTCTCTTAAAAAACAGAACAAAAAAACCCCAATCCCTATACAGATCTCACCCGTATCAGTGCTGTGGGTGGGGAGAGGTGCTGAGGTGGGGAAACTGAGGTCTGGGGGGCTGAGCCATGGCATGCCTGGAGTTAACACCACTTCCTTATTGGTGGGGACTCAAGAGTTAGTCCAAAGTTTGACCTTGGAGTGGGGGAGGGGGAAGAATTCAGAAGCACTTGTCTCCAGGGGTGGGATGCAGTTCTACTTCTTTTATATGGCCTCTGGCAGTGGTGACAACCCTTAGTCAATAGATAGTTCTGATCCTCAACCACCCAGGGCACTGGCCAAGGCAGACAGTGTTTCTCCTATTCTGAAGAAACAGGGCTCAGAGAGGGGCAGTGCTTGTTCAAAAGGCAAACAGCAACTGGAAACCAAGCACGAAGATTTCTAGTCCAATTCTCTCCACGTGAGGAATATAACTGTTTTACAACAGTGCAGCTCCCAGAAGAGGCCAAGGATAGAATTAGCATGCCCTGGTGGGGTTCAGAGCCATAACACAACTTGGTTGATGTTATTACACAGTAAAGCAAAGCCCATTCCCTAGGTTCTCTCGATTTGGAATAAACTCCTGGGCTTGCTGACCGTTCTGCCATTCCCCTTGTCCTGAGCAGGGGGCTGCACACCTCACAGGCCGCTCTGTTTGAGCTGTTACTCTCAGGCCAAACCTTTTCATTGCGGGCAAGGACCGCTTCTGTGGCGCAGAGAGAGAATTCAGCTCCACTTCTGCCACAACTGAGGTGCAACAAGCCGACTCTGTTTAACCACAATGTGGGCTGGCCCTGAGGGAAAGGCAGTTCTGAAGTGACAACCGGTGTCCTGGGCGATAGGGAAGTTGAGGATGTCTGTGGCAGTGGCTGATTCTAGTTTCTCGCTGAGGCTTTTATCTTGCATCTCCTCGGGCCTGACAAGTCCCAGGGCGGGCAGCTGTCACTTGCCATTGCTGTCACCCTTGAGCAGGATGGAAAGCGGGCAGGAAAAGGCTCCTGACTCCTTCTCATCATTCCTTCCCAAAGGAAAATACACTCACGGGCCAAACAGGGTCACGGAGAGAGGCTCAACCTCTGAATATTCCAGAGCAAAGAGCAGGAGAGGTGTGAGTTAGAGTCCTGGCCCTGAGGTGGATCAGCTGTGCTTGTCCTGGGGGGTATACGGTGGCATCTCTCTGCATGGCTGAGCCTTGAGTTCTGGGCTCAGACACACCTGGGTTCAAATCCCGTCCTCACCACCTGCAGACTGCATGACCTTGGGCAAGTTCCATGCCCTCCCTGAGCCTCAAATCCCTCATCTGTGAGAAGGGCTCACACCAGCACCTCATACAGAAGACTGGAGAGTGCGATCATGCACACAAAGCAGCTGGCACATAGTAAATGCTCAATAAGGTCAGATGTCACCGTCTTTTTCCCATAGCCAATTCCTTGTTACTCAGTTTTAACTTCTGTAAGAAGGGAACCCCCAAAGAACCGCTTCGAGGACAGCACGAGATGACAGGCGCAAAGACTCCAGCCCAGGACATATGCTCCCTAACGAGCGGGCTTGAGGGTCAGAACCTCAGTCTCCCTATCTGCAAAATGGGCACTCGGTCCTCCCCTCCCCACGAGCCGGGAACCCCCGGACGGCGGTGGAGGTGGCTGTTCTTCTCTCAGGACCCCTCGACCGTCTCATATCCCCTGGCCCGTCCAGCCCGGTCAATCCCTCAGCTCCAGCCCCGCAGGGGCGCGCCCTGCCCGGGCCTCCCGCGCGCCCCCGGCCGCTCCCCAGCCCCGCTACCTATGGTGGAGATGAAAGTGGAGTTGAAGGCGTCCTCGGAGAAGCGGAACAGGACACAGGTCTTCCCCACCCCCGAGTCCCCGATCAGCAGCAGCTTGAACAGGTAATCGTAGGTCTTCGCCATATTACACTCTCTCCCCGACGGGAAGTGCGCCCAGCGCCTCGCCACTGGCCACTGGCCCCGTCTATCAGCGCCGAGTCCGCCCCTATTGGCTCCCGGCCCGACGCGCGTCATCGCAGCCGACGCCCGCCTTCGCGCCCCGCCCATCGCGGGGAGACCTGGGGAAGGGGCGAGCGGGCCGCGGAGCCGGAAGCAGCCCGAGCGTGCCGCCCATTGGCCCGCGCTCGGGACAGGGCGGGCCGTCATTGGCCAGCGGCGGAGAGTCGAGGGGCTTCAAATGGACACGGAGCGGGGGCGTGGCACTCCATGTCCACGCCTTCTTCTCCCCCACCCCACCCCCTCCCCGACTCCGGGGCGGCCCCGCCCCGCCCCGCCCCTCGATGGGAGAGGGAGCGCCGCCAACGTCTCCGCGCGCCGGCAGCCTGGGGGCGGGGCCTGGGGCGCGCGCGCCTGCGTGCGGGGAAGGCCGTTACGTGCCGGCAGAGGGCGCACGCGCACTGGGGGCGGGCGGGTCGGTGGGTGTGTCTGCGCGTTCCGCCTTCTCGGCTCGCGCAGCCGCAGTGGGCACCGAGGCGAGCGCGGGAAGGCGCTGCCGAGCCGGCCACGTGGGCGGCGTGGTCTGCAGGCGGCCCCCGCGGGCCGGCGGGGGCCGGGGAAGGGAAGGGAGGGCGGGCGCCGGCCCTAGTCGAGAAGGGGCCCCTGGAGACGTGCCCCGGGGCCTCGGCGCTGGCCAAGGGGCCCATCAGAGACGCCCAAGGCCTGTGCCACGCCCGCGGGCCTGGTTAGAGGTTGTGCGGGCCGCTGTCTGCCCCGAGGGGTTGCAGGTGACCCTTCTCGGGGCATTCGGGCCTGCGCCTGGCGGTGCTCGCAGCCCTTTGTGAGAAAACACAAAACATTTAATTTAATTTAACCCACACCTGCCCAGAGAGGTAGGTATGATTGGGGTTTTTTTTTGTGTTTTTTTTTTTTTCCTTTTTTTCCTCCCATTTTATGGTGAGAAAACTGAAGCCAGAGGAGGCAAAAGTGACTTTCCCCGGCTCCAGGGTTGGAATTTGAACGCAGACCGCCCAGCCTCAGGAGCCAAGACCCGGCCTGGGGATCTTGGGAAGGATGGCACTAGCCTCTCCTCCTCCCTCCCGCCTCAGCTTCGTTCTTTTCCCAGTCTAGCTCTGGTTAAGAAAAAAGCCTCAGCCTCTGTGGCATTTGATACTCTTTTTTTTTTTGAGACAGAGTCTCACTCTGTTTCCCCGGGCTAGAGTGAGTGCCGTGGCGTCAGCCTCACTCACAGCAACCTCCCAACTCTTGGGCTCCAGAGATCCTCCTGCCTCAGCCTCCCGAGTAGCTGGGACTACAGGCATGCGCCACCAGGCCCGGCTAATTTTTTTCTATATATTTTTTACTTGGCCAATTAATTTTCTTTCTATTTTCAGTAGAGACGGGGGTCTCGCTCTTGCTCAGGCTGGTCTCGAACTCCCGACCTTGAGCGATCCACCTGCCTCGGCCTCCCAGAGTGCTGGGATTACAGGCACTACAGGTGGGATTACAGGCACTATAGGGATTACAGGCGTGAGCCACCGCGCCCGGCCCATTTGATACTCTTGACCACCTTCTCAGGGTATTCTTTTTTTTTCTTGGTACTTTCCCCCCTGCTTTATTTGCCTGTTTCTGGCACCTCCGCCTCCCCTTCTCTGGGTGCTGCTTCTCAGATTCCACTGCAGTCTTCTTTTGGGGTCTCTGTCCCTTTGATGTGGGTGTTCTTCCTGGTTCTGTCCCTTTTCACTTCCTGGGTGATCTCATTCCTTCCTGGGGTTCTGACATCTCCACCCTGATGATTCTTAAGTTTTTTTTTATCCATTTGCTCAGCCTTCCCTACACGTAGTTCAACTGCTTTCTGGACATCTAGCTTTGCATTTGTCGAAGATTCTCCAAACTCAGCATGTCCACAACTGAACTCGTCTTCTGCTCAGACTGGTTTGTCTTGAGTTACCTTCTGAGTGAACCTAACACCTTTCTTACGTCTCTCACATCCTGGTTCTTAAGGAGGTTCTAAGTTGCTCTTGAATCTTGCTCTTTCACTTCCACTGCCTCAGTCAGAGCATCACGTTTGCCCGCTGGCCATTTCCTCTTACCCAGATTTCACTCTGCAGTGGATATTAGCTATTAGATAAGTACACTTATCTAATATCCGTCTGTGGTGTCTCGGCTGGATAAGAGTCCAAAAACCTTTCCCTTAGCACACATCCCTCGAGGTCTGGTCCTGACCTCACCTGTGTCCCACCCACGCTTCATGGGATTGGGAACACCCAAGAGCTGGGACAGGTCAACTTAACATTCAGCACTTCTTAAGTGCTGAGTCACAAGGATGACTAAAACAGCACCCTGAGATGTGATTACAACCCAAGGGGATGGAGAGGAGGGAGAAGACAGACACAGGAAGGAGTAACTTCAATCTAGTAATAGTAGGGCATTTAGAGGAGGGAGTTACATTTATTTATTGACACTCCCTGCCCTACCATCTAAACAAGCTAACAGTGTCAGCTAAACATGTTGAATTGATACGAAGGGAATGTTTTAATCATACTGGATAACAGAAAATTGTTTGCAGACTGCATTAATGTTTTATTGATTGATTAGTTGTTTTTTTAATGTGACAGGGTCTTGCTCTGTCACTGAGGCTGGAGTGCAGTGGCATGATCATAGTTTGCTGCAGCCTTGAACTCCTGGGCTCAGGTGATCCTCCCACCTCAGCCTCCTGCGTAGCTGGGACTACAAGTGTGTGCCACCATACCCAGCTTTTTTTAAAAAGATTTTTAGAGACGGGTCTCCCTATTTTGCCCAGGCTGGTCTCTAATTCCGGGCCTCAAGGGATCCTCCCACCTCAGCCACCTGAGTAGGGACAGGCCACTGTGCCTGGCTGCATTAACATTTTAAAGGACTTCTTTTGTCTTTCTGGTTCCCTAACTCCCCGCCCCCGGCATAAAATCTTGGGACAAACTATGAAAGCAATCCAGGTAGTGAAACTGCGATGATGGTCTTTTGACACTGTTCTCAGTTCCCTGTCATCCGGTCAGCTAAGTTTTAAGATTACTTTCTGCAGATCACTTCTCCTGTCTTACTCGATGGCAGTCACTATCCTGGATTGAAACATTTCCCGAACTTGCCTTCCCATCTGTAGTCTACCCCTACTCGGGTCCTTCCTGAAAATGAATGCCAAGTGGATTTTCCTAATGCATTGCTTTGAATTCGTTTACTCCAGTCTCGGTGGCTCTCCACTCCTGACCAAATGAAGTTCAGGCTCTCATCAGCGTGGAACCAGCCTGCTTTCCAGCTTCCCGACTTCTGCTTTGCGTTACGGTATGTGCAGCACACAGAAAGCCTCGCACACCCAGGCAGGCCTTGCACTTTCCTAACTCGGGCAACAGAGATCACCTGGCCTGCACCTCTCTCGTCTGTTAAAATCCTACTCAGTCTCACAGCCTGGCTCAAGCAGGATTGGAGATAACAAAGGACCGGGGCTTTTTGAGTTGCTGAGGTCAAGTGCTCTCATGTGCAACATGGAGATCATGATCCTTATATATTGTAGACTCGCAGTGCGAAGCAAATAAGTAACACTTGCTAAGTTCTTGGCACGGTTATCTTCCCTTTCCATCCCGTTAACATGTGCTGAACCAAAATGCTCTGAATGTCCCCATGCATTCTAAAAGTCACACAAATTGTAGTTTATGTAAAAATTTATTTGACCAAAATGTAGAAAAAGTGATACTATTACATATGATACAGTTGCAAGAATCTAAAAGAGGAGTGTGAATTTCATTCAGTTGCACAATTTGCTAGTGTATCTCCCGGGTAGTGTGATGCTTAATAAATAGGAGTGAGGGGGCAGGGGACTCAGATAAGCTAGAAGCAGGGTGACTTTTCGGTCAGACTTGTAAACTTGATTGGGCCCCCACACTTGGGGAATGTGGAATGTCTCAGCTCTGAGATGTTAACTGAGAAAACAAATACAACGAAGCCAGCATGTGCAGCCCTGTCTACAAAATACTCCATCATCCAGTTTAATCAGGAGTTTCTTGGTCTTTTATTAACTTGGTCCTGAAGAAGGAATTAAAGTCCTAGACGAGTAGTTCTTCAATTCGCCATTCCGTAAAGTATGGGAATGAAGTTGGGCCCATTTTTTAAAAAAATCTCTGCTCTGCTGCCAGAGAAGCCCCTTCTGCTAATAGGAAAAAAAAAGTCTTTTGCTCAGTTTATCAGTAGCAGGTCAGTCTTTTTGATATAGCTGACCCGAACAGGACCGAACGCCACCATATTCCCGCTGAGTGGACGGCATTCTATCCCAGCAGAAAAACACGGGTCACTATTGGACTAAGACACTTGGTCCTCAGAGGACCACGTTAGAATGGAGGGATGCGGAGGAGAACGTGACATCGAGGACCTAGCCAGAAAATATCTGGGTAATTACTGCAGCCGTTTCCCAAGCATGGCATTCTTGTGCTTAACTGCTCAGGAGGATGTTTGTTCTGCAGTGGGGTGTGGAGAGGGGCCCGCATGACCAGGCTAATCTACCTGTGGCTTATGGCTCCCCACAAGAGCACCCCCCCCCCCGCCACCTTTTATTTGCTCTGGATGGAAAATCCCCACCCGTGGGTTAGTCCCTAGTCTCCCGTAGTTTGACCAGCGGTGACCCAGAGGGTTCTGTTCCTCAGCGTTCTGAACTGGTCCAGGACTAGCTACTGGAGTTAGTCTGTGTTTGGGAAAGCGTGGGGTTGTCTGTTCTCCCAGGAACCAAACGCCCTTGGTCTTGAGAGAGGATGCTCAATATGAAATACCCTGCCTACCTTAGGAATAAATGCAACTTAAGGAAAGAAAAGAAAAAAAAAAAAAAAGATCTGAAAAAGCTGGTGCCATTTGAGAAAAAGGAAGGAATTGGATTTAACTGGTGCTCAAAGCTTCTCTGATACAAAATATTTGGTCATAATTTGCTTGACATTTCCAGCAAAGCGAAGACTGGATAACAAAAGAAACCTCTTACGAGAGAAGAGAAAGACGTGGGGCTCTGGAGCTGTGTTGGGACAAGACTCTTCCGTCCGGTTATATACAGTTAAGTTCGTTTAGTGTCTGATCCAGTGTCTGGTGTAAGCCCACGTTCTCTTCTTTGGCCTGGGCGAGTTTTTCTGTTGAGGATTAAGAGTGGGAGGAAAATAAATTAATAAGCATCTTTGTTAAAGTAAAAATAAAAAAAAGGTTTCCAAACCTCAAGCTGCCAGAGTGAAAGTCACAGCAGAGAAAATACTTTGTATTTTTTTTTTTTTTTCCTGAGATAGAGTCTCACTTTGTTGCCAGGGCTAGAGTGCCGTGGCATCAGCTTAGCTCACAGCAACCGAATTTTTTTCTATATATTTTTACTTGGCCAATTAATTTCTTTCTATTTTTAGTAGAGACGGGGTATCACTCTTGTTCAGGCTGGTCTCGAACTCCTGACCTCAAGCAAATCCGCCTGCCTCGGCCTCCCAGAGTGCTAGGATGACAGGCGTGAGCCACTGCGCCCAGCCAATACTTTGTATTTTAATTATAGCAGAACACCATGGAGCAATAAGGACCAAGCACCAAATTTGGGAGTCAGGGTTGTAAGACAAAATACAGGATGCCCAGTTAAAGTGAATTTTAGATAGACCACAAATAATATTTTAGTATAAGTATATCCCAAAGGTTGCATGAGATACGCTTATGCCAAAAAGTTTATTCATCGCCTATCTGAAATTCAAATTTCACTTGGTGTCCTGTATTTTCATTTGCTAAATCTGACAACCCTAGAGTCAGAATACCTGAATTTATTTATTTATTTATTTTTGAGACAGAGTCTCGCTTTGTTGCCCAGGCTAGAGTGAGTGCCGTGGCGTCAGCCTCGCTCACAGCAACCTCCAACTCCTGGGCTCAAGCGATCCTCCTGCCTCAGCCTCCCGAGTAGCTGGGACTACAGGCATGTGCCACCATGCTCGGCTAATTTTTTTTATATATATTAGTTGGCCAATTAATTTCTTAATGTTTATAGTAGAGACGGGGTCTCGCTCTTGCTCAGGCTGGTTTCGAACTCCTGATCTCGAGCGATCCGCCCGCCTCGGCCTCCCAGAGTGCTGGGATTACAGGCGTGAGCCACCGCGCCCGGCCAGAACACCCGATTTTAAATCCCAGTTGTTCCACTGAAGTGAGCCGTTTAACCTTTCTAGGACTCAGTTTTGCCATCTGTCAAATGGGTGCCGTGGGGGGTTATTATGAGGAACAAACGAGAAATGTTTCAGAACCTATGACTTGCTACACACACGTAAGATTTCAGTCCCGGACACGGGTGACTTGGTGCCTTATCCCCCCGACCCCCAGTTTATTGGACCCTGAGCCTTTGGCAGGAAAATGCAATCCTATAACGCATCTGTCCCTTGGAGCTTCTGGGAGTGGTTTGTTTAAATTCCAGGCATATCGGTGTTTCCGTGTCTGTGTATCCACACGATGAGGTCAAACCCCAGGTAAACGCAACGTGACTGAGATCTACGCCAGACTGCAGGCACGCTACGAAGCGATCGAGCTGATGAGACGACAAAGAAAAAGAAGAAGACGCCATGGAGAGCTATGCGTGACAGCAGGAGGCAGGACCGGTCTGCAGCGAGTGGCAGCCGATAAGGGGTACGGCCCAAACTCATTAAAATACCGGAGGAAAGCAGCATGCCTCATAAAACGTGATACCATCAGCCTGGGAATTTCCAGGAAGAGAAAAAAAAAAATGACTGCAGAAGACGGCAGCTTTTCTGCTAGGATGACTGGACCTTTCATTTCACAAGGCACTTAAAAAAAAAAAAAAATCGAGTGACTGTGACCTGGATCCGTCCAGAACCAGAATAGCGACCTGGGCCCGTGCAGTCTGGGTGGATAAATGTGAACTGAATACTGAACGCTCGAGCCGACTTCCCCATCACCTCATTTAAGCCTCGCGGAAACCGAGGCGGCCCCTCTGTTTTGCAGGAAAGCTGAGCAGCCCGTGCAGGGTTGCGCAGCTACCGCGGAGTTAGGACTCATGCCCTGGTCTCTTGACTATGCGTCCTGACCTCACTGTACCTTGTCACCTGGATTTTCTTGCCATCTATTTTGTTGTTAGGTCCGAGATAAAATTACTTTCCCTTGGATATACAGGACCTGCACGCCAGGGAGTGAGAAAGCTTGGGGACCGTCTTAGAATTCCGCCTACCACGATTTCCTTAATGCATGGAATGAATGGAAGACACATTGGCCTGGACGTCAGAAAAACTGAAATCTCGTTGCTAGCCAGATGTTTGACTTTTGGAAAACCCCTCGACTTCTCTGAACAACTTTTTCTTCCCCATCCGTACAGTATGATAATCGAGCCTCATGTTTCGGTATTAAAGATCAGTCTGCATTTTGATGTATTATAGTTAGGAGAGTATGTTACTTTATGCATCTTCAACAAAATGAATCTTTAAAAAAAATTACTTTCCCGGCCGGGCGCGGTGGCTCACGCCTGTCATCCTAGCACTCTGGGAGGCAGAGGCGGGCGGATTGCTCGAGGTCAGGAGTTCGAAACCAGCCTGAGCAAGAGCGAGACCCTGTCTCTACTATAAATAGAAAGAAATTAATTGGCCAACTAATATATATATAAAATTAGCCGGGCACGGTGGCGCATGCCTGTAGTCCCAGCTACTTGGGAGGCTGAGGCAGCAGGATTGCTTGAGCCCAGGAGTTGGAGGTTGCTGTGAGCGAGGCTGACGCCACGGCACTCACTCTAGCCTGGGCAACAAGCGAGACTCTGTCTCAAAAAAAAAAAAAAAAAAAAAAAAAAATTACTTTCCCTTAAAAGGTGTTCGTTGTCTTTGAGGTTGGTCGTGAGGCTCACAGACTATCAACAGGTAGAAGCAGAACTCCATAGCATTAATCCCCGAAACTCCGCTTAGGTGCTTAGTTAGGTAGAATGACAGGACAGGCAGGCTGCACAATCATTTCAAAGGGTGGAGGCTGCTAATGTCCGGAAAAAGTCCCGGGAACAGATACAGAGAGAAAGCAAACGAAAAATAGCTCCCTACGCTGTCTGTAACCTTTCCAAGGGCGTACGTAGGGCAATGTGTGAAGGGCGTGGTTTTTATAAAAGCTCAGGATGGGTGGCCCTTAGGGACAGGGAGAGAGGCTGGGCTGGAAAAGGTGCAGGTAGTTCAGGGGACATGCATTTTGGAGGAAGGAATATCAGTAACAACCGAGACAGAGCTTCCCCCCTGAATAAAAAAAAGGATAGCACGGGGAGTAACGAGCCGTAGTGCCCCAAAACTGGTGCTCTGGTTGGGGATTTCTGTGCGGGTCCCACCCAGGTACAAGGGGCGGTTCGGAAGCCGCGGCTTAGAGATCTATAGGTCAGTGTTCCCGGGATGATGTGAGGTGGCGGTGGGATGCAGGGGAGAACTGGATAGACTGTTTCAAATCTGGATTTTCTTGGACAAATCTGTGTCTTTGATCACTGAAAGTATGACCTTTGAATACCCACAGGCCAACCCTGCGAGCTGCTGGGAAACTAACAGCAGGGCTCCTGGTTGCAGTTAACGCGGCATGAAGGAGGTGATGTCGGCATCTCGGGCAACTTTGGAACTCAGGAAAGAGTCACCCCACTTCTTTTGTTTGACATCCCAGCAGTTTCTACTCCCTGTCGGTGGGATGTTCTGGGATTCCTTGTACAGCCAGTGTCCTCAGGGCTGGGTGTGCAGGTGAACTCGCTCCCAGGACGGGGAGCTGGGTGAATGTCCCATGAGCAACGAGGACGTGGGAAACCTCCCCGGTCACCCTTCTGAGAGCGTAACACACAGAACAAACGAGAAAAGGAAGGAGGAGGACACCGAAATGCCACTGCCGCTCTTTGAATTCGTAGCTCGAGCCCCATTCCAGGGCAGCCTCATTTTTTTGGTAGACGCAGGCTTGCTGGTCTCTCTGCAAGTTCTGCTGACTCTTTTTTTTTTTTTTTGGAGACAGAGTCTCACTCTGTTGCCCAGGCTAGAGTGCCGTGGCGTCAGCCTCGCTCACAGCAGCCTCCAACTCCTGGGCTCAAGCGATCTTCCTGCCTCAGCCTCCCGGGGTGCTAGGATGACAGGCGTGAGCCACTGCGCCCAGCCAATACTTTGTATTTTAATTATAGCAGAACACCATGGAGCAATAAGGACCAAGCACCAAATTTGGGAGTCAGGGTTGTAAGACAAAATACAGGATGCCCAGTTAAAGTGAATTTTAGATAGACCACAAATAATATTTTAGTATAAGTATATCCCAAAGGTTGCATGAGATACGCTTATGCCAAAAAGTTTATTCATCGCCTATCTGAAATTCAAATTTCACTTGGTGTCCTGTATTTTCATTTGCTAAATCTGACAACCCTAGAGTCAGAATACCTGAATTTATTTATTTATTTATTTTTGAGACAGAGTCTCGCTTTGTTGCCCAGGCTAGAGTGAGTGCCGTGGCGTCAGCCTCGCTCACAGCAACCTCCAA